ATACACCACACTGAGGATCAAGCCCACAACCCAGGCATGTGCCCTGACCAGGAATTGAATTATGACCTCCTGGTTCACAGGTCGACACTCAGCCACTGAGGCACACTGGCCGGGCTCTTCAAATGTTCTGATACTGTCTTGTCCCTCACTGATCTCCTCTGTGGTCCGGTCTCACATTATCTCTGTAACCATGGACTCTGCATATTTCAAACCCCAGCCAAGTGCAGTCCCACCCCTTCCAAGACCCTTTCCCTGAGTCCTGTAGTTGGCAATGCTTTCACCCTCGCTTGCACGGAAATGGCAGTAGTTCTCTCTGGAATGTATGTCCCTTGTCATCTTTAGCATTGCGCTTCTGTAAACCACCACATAGTAAACTGCTTGGCATCAGAATCTGTATCTTAATGAATCTGTTTATTCCTTTCTGAGCCTTGTGTCAAGTCACAAATAAGAAATTAATTAATGGATTGATCTGTCATTCTTTGGTACTAGGTATATTGAATTTGGGGGTTCTCCAGATAGTCTATGGGGGATATAGCTCAATCCTGAAGAATTACCAAAGATGTGAGAGCTAAGAAGAACGCTGTCTGTTAACATTGAGTCAGTAATGACCTTGACTGCTGGTGGTGGTCCCGGAGTGCGTGGGGGGGTGTCTGAGGGGCTCAAGCTCAGTGTTCCTAAGGCCCAGCCCAGGGATGGGGCCCCTTGTTCTCTTAAAGCGGTAAGGCCCATAAGGCAGTTTCTCACCTGCCCAGACAGGTCTTCAAGGGCTAGTGCAGAAACTTACAAGTACATTCTATAGAGCCATTCACGGCAATGTTTCCCAAACAGTTCTGAGTATTAGCATGTGTTTTGCACGCTAGAAGTCTGGGGCAAACTATTGAATTATTGAAGAAATATGGAAATCATAATCATTTAAATAAAAAAGCCCATCGACAGAAACTGCAAATTCAGAAACATTAAAGTCATTTAATTCGTTAGAAATAAATATTATTTAACATACTAGACATAATAAGTACATCATTTTTTTTAAACTTTAAAAGTCAGCCTGAATGTTTTGTCTGCAAAGATAACCTCTATTAGCAATCAGGCTAGGTGGCATTGTATTAGCTCCTATTTGGGGTTTTGAATTGTTTTGCTCTCTTTGAATTGTCTGCCAACCTCATCTGTTCGTGGCTGGTGCTGGAAAGACTAGGAGGCTCGCAAAGTCCCCGGTTAAAGGCTACAGAGAAAGCCAAGTTGAGGTTCCTTTTTCCCCAATCCCCTTCATTTTTCAGCGACTTGGCGCCCAAGAGGTATTTGTGCTGGTGCCTCTCCACCCCGCGCAGGTGTTCCTTCTCCTCCTCCCCCTCCACACGTTTCCTGGTCGTGTGTAACCTCCCTCACTCCGGGGAGGAACCGTTCCAACCTCTCCCAGGAGAAAGCTCTGTTGCCTACGATGAGGAAACTACTTAATGACCACTTTGCGCAATGCTCGCAATATGTTTTAATGTGATTACTGATCTGAAAGTTTAATAAGCAATATCCTGGGTAATTTATTCATGTCCCTCAATTTTCACATTTTCAATATTCATGACCCTTCTATTCATAAAAGTACATCTTTTTTTTCCCCCTTCCCGGTGCCCAGGTGCCATGCCAAAGTCTCTATATCTCAGGCTGCATAATGGGAATGTCCAAGTGCCACCTTTGCTGGGCTGGCTGATAATTAAAATGCCAGACAATCTAGTGACAAGGGCCTTGGAAATATTTATGTGTGAGAAATTATTAATTTATGTTCTATGCAAGATGGTTCTATTCAAGTGGTCAACATTTACTTATCTTGACAATTAGATGGGGCAATGTGTGGTGTATCTAAGTTATGCCATACATTTTCTTCTAATTTTCCTCCCCAGTGATGATTTTCAGCTACCCAAATAAGCTCCTTTTGCATTGATGAGCTTACAGAATTTGGACTCTCTTTTTAAAAATCCCAGTTTAAGCAGTTAAAAGCTCATAAGTAACCAAAATGAAAAAGACTCAAGAAAACATGCAAGACTCTTCCCAGGCCCACCCACTAGCCACTTGTTACTGAAAAGGTCTGGGAGAGAAGAATCTGCTTCGGGACCCTGGCTACATGGATGGGACCTTGAGCAAATAGCTTGGAACAGGCTGCTCATTCTCCGGGGCAATGCACGGAGACGGCGCCGGCCACCTTGTTGGCTTGAGACTTTCCCTTCAGTTAGGCGAGTGAGACAGAGGCCACTGTGTGTGCCACCAGCCCTTCAAACACAGACACTGGGTCTCGTGTCAGAAATGATGCTGATGGACGGTCATTTACGAGAATGCGTGGGCCTGATTTTTCTTAAAGATGGGTTCGTTTCCCTGTGAGGTTGTCCAATCGGTGAAAAATGCAGACGAAAGAGCGCCACAGGTTCAATGTGGACAAGAAAGTAAAACAAGAAAACAAACAAACAAAAAACACCTTATGCGTTGGAGTGTTTTCTTTTCTTTTTTTATGATTTGTGAAGAATGAGCAATTTTTAACCTGGTCTATTAGAAGGCTAGTTGTTGTTGTTGTTTCACTATCATGTGTGCAGATTCTGAGCCACACTGTACAGCCTGTGAAAATAGTTTCATAGACGTTTACAAACCATTTCTTACGGTTCGAGGGGCCTCAAATACAGTATATAAATATACATTGTGACATAATTATGCATTTCAGTTCTCTATGATACGTTTTGAAACTTTATTTGCTATTTTTTCATATCACTTCATATTATTATTATTTTAAAACAATTTCTTAGTGATTTCTTCCTCAGTACTTCAGTTGTCCTTTCGTTCTTTTATTTTTCTCTTTCATGGATGCCATGCTCTTTGGAAGCTTGTTTAGACCAAGTGAATGGCCTTTTAGGCTTCCTCCACGTGAATACGAGTTCATTTTTTGAATAATAAGAATTCTATGTCATGCGGGGGGTGGGGGGGCATCAGGATTTTAGAGATGCTTAGGTGAGGCATGGCCAAAAAAAGGTGGGGAACCACTGGTGTAGACCCTGAAACTCCTCCTCCAATTTGGTAGTCTGAAATATAATAAAATGTTAAAAATCACTTATGAGAGAAGAGGAGGAAGGAGGAGGAGTAAGAGAAGAAGCAGAAGGAGGAGAAAGAGACCGACTTATCCTTTATGAATGCTCAGAAAGGTCAATCTTAGTGTCTTATTGGTATTGGAGATTAGTATTGATTTTAAATTCACTTCTTTCTTGGAGATATTTTATCTCAGAAAGAAGTTTATTATTAATATTTTAGGTTGCTTAGCACAAGTGGAAGTAGAATAACTTAAGGCACAACTGACTCAGTTTTAGAAAGAGAATCAGTACTTAGATTGTGTAACATTTTCTGGAAGAGAAATGTGTCACTTGTTGCTTCTAAAGGCATGACAAGAAATCTGGATTTTCTTCGAGCCATTTCCCAGTAGGGTATTTTCCATCCCATCCTACCTTGTTCTTGATCACGCATGCCCACAGACACGCACTGGGTAACATTTCTTCTGGCTTCATTGCATGGCATTTTCCATTCTCATTCGTAAAGACATCTCCAATCAAAGTAACATGACACCCAAGTTGCAGAACTGTGTGATGGCATGTATAGTGCTTGTAGGTTCCTTGTAGTGAAATTGCCTTACCTGGTCTCCTGAACGGTGATTACCCTCTTGGAGAACTGATAACAGTGGGATGCACCTTCCTGTAAGTGACGTGTGTGTCGCTGTTTTATTATGCATTACTTCATTTGTCAAGATCGCCTAACTTACCCTAAAGATTTCTGGCCAACCAGGAGATGGCATATTCCTCTTGCATCATTGTATAGTTAAGCCACAGGGTGCAAATCTGACCATGTTTTCTCTGCATGGATATTTCCCTCAGTGGAAATGTCCTTGGCATCTGCTCTCATGACTTGGGGTTGCCCCATCTGGTCTGAGCTACAGAGGTTAGCACCTCAGCTCTTCCTGGGGGCTGGTCCTAGGCCCTGATCTCATAGTGTCCTGAGTGCGGAGGTAGCTGGGAGTGTAAGGGAGGCCTCTGTGTGATAATCTAACAGGCGTGCAGAGTGTAAGTGGCTCTGCTGGTGCCCACGGTCCTGCAGTGTCCCAGCTCAGTCCCCGCCCTTTTCTTACACCCATGCTTCTTGTCTTCACTCTTGTCAACCTTTTCCTTTTGTGTGTGTGTGTGAATTCTGTCATCAGAGCACATAAAGCACTAATGTCCTTTCAAAGCTGTCTATTTGGATGTCACACATTCAGAAAGTCTCTGAGTCTACCATGGGGATCTCCAGTTGTGCTCCAGCCCCTCACCGGATGTGATCACACTTCATCCCTGTGATGATGGGCTTAGAGCTCCCCCGGGGAGGGTGCCTCGTAGAAATGTGTGGGTGCTCTCTGGTACATACATAAGGACACCTATTATGTGTGTGCATTGAGAAGCTGGGGTTAACACAAGTTATAGCCATTTGCTTTTTTTTCTAGAAGAAACATCTATATTGAAAGCAGTGGCCGGTCACATAGAAATTCAGCCAAACTTTTTTTTAAGCCGATGTAAATCTCCCATGCTGTTTAAATGTCGGAACTAAATTTACCAAACTTGGCAGCTTTTTAAAGCGGAGCAGGACTGCCAAGTGTTCCCAATTTCAAGCAGAGAGTTCTAACACTTCCTGCAATCCTCGCAGGAGGCACCTGCTGGTAATTGCCACTTCACAATCCCTTCCCCGGCGCCTACCTGGCGAGCTGGCATCTCTGCACCCCAACGCTGGTTACAGTGATGATAAAGTGTCAGGACAGAAGGGTCCAAAATACGCCACAGCGCCCGCGAGGCAAGCGCCTTCCCACCACATCTTCCTGCCGGAGAAGCCTTGGGGTTAGACTGCGGCTCTTGACATCACAGCCAACTGGTTTCCCCAAACAATAAAGGGGGTGGGCATGGGAGACAGAAACACACCCCCCAGATCTGACTCGGCCTCTTTTCCCATCTAATCAGGGCCTGCTGTCCGAGATCCTCCGGAAGGAGGAAGACCCGCGGACGGCCTCGCAGTCCCTCCTGGTGAACCTGCGGGCCATGCAGAATTTCCTCAACCTCCCCGAGGTGGAGCGGGACCGCATCTACCAGGACGAGCGGGAGCGGAGCATGAACCCCAACGTGAGCATGGTGTCCTCGGCCTCCAGCAGTCCCAGCTCCTCCCGGACCCCTCAGGTGAGATGTGCGCCCCGCGGACGTTTCTCTCTCTGCCCTGGAAGCAGCTGGCGGCACTGCGGGTTTGCCCTGGAAACAGACGTAATTCGGGGCTCTGAGTCCACTGGGCGTGTTGCTGAGAGGACAGGGACCCGACCCTGTGCTATGTCCTGTGCCGTTGGTGTCCCTTTAGGAGCAGTAGTACCATCCTTCCCCCGGCGGCAGGAGAGCAGGGGATGGAGGAGGGAGAGGAGGGAGAGGAGGGAGGCTGTGTCCACCTAGAGCTGCTTCATCATCAAGGAAGGAGCGAGGGGTTTGTGTGAAGCTGAGTGGGCGTGGCCAGCGCCCCGCTTTTCCTTACATCCTGTTGACTCCAGTGCGGGGAGGAAGCGGGGAGGTAGGGGGGAGCGGGGGCAGGGGGCGCAGGAGGATGCAGGCTCGGCTTTGTGTAATGTGAGGAAGACAGAATGGGGAGGGACCTGGCGTGATGGGAGCTCGCATGTGCAGGCACCCCTCACAATGGCTGGATCATTCACGGAGCCTTTAGAACATGGTCACGGGAAGGTAGGCCTTCATTATTCTGCTTCCCAGGTGACCCCCGGGACTCCAGGGCGCAGCTTCCCATCCTCCTCTCTCCACAACTGTAAGGCATTCTGTTCTCAGTTCCTCTGGCCGATGCGGGCAGCTAGTTGCTCCGTGGGCTGCAAAGATCCTCACTGAAGGGTCAAGCCAGTCACGTGTCATTTTCCATGAAGATCTGAACCCCTCATTTCTAGCCTGTTACCTACGATCCTTAAGCTTCACTACTCTCTGGGTTGAGGACACAGCCATCTCATTCCACTGTTGCCAGGATGGTTGCAAATTCCCTCTCAGCGGTAGTTCTCAAGATAATCAACAGATACACGTTTGTACAAATCAGAAAAATGTGTACTTTGAAATCAAAGGACTTTTTGCTTGGATGCTATAGTGTGTGCGTGTGTGTGCTTGTACGTGTGTGTGTCTGTGTGTGTGTGTGTGAGTGTGTGTGTGTGAGTCATCCCGAAATGAGCTTGTCTTCTGGTAAGTTCCAAAGAACGGATTAAGCATACAAGCAGAATTGTATTCTAGTAGAAATATTTGAGCTTTTTCCTATACATCCGTTTTCTTTCACATTTTCTAACTTTCATAATTTTGTACTCCGCAATAAATTTTTAACTGAAGATCATTTTCTGTCGTGCAAACTGCGATGCTTACACTTTAGTCTTTAGCGAATGATGAGCTGTAATGACTGTTCAACCAAAAATAAGTCTCTTAACTGCTTACTTTGGACGAGTGTAACCAAGCTTTTATATGGGGTTTTCCCCCCATTTGGGGACATACGTATTAGGCTATTGAGTTGGGTGAGCTGTTGATTTGCACTAATATTTACTTCTATTAAACCCGCCAATATTTTTGCTGCTTCTGAAGTCCGTTGAAGCATGGTGGGAGAGTCCAGCCCTGCTTCCTGGCTGTGCACCCGCACTCCTCTGCTCAGAAACTCACTCCCACTTGTTAGAAAATCCCGCAGGTCTGTGTGCTCCTTCGTGATATTTTCCCGGCACCATTGCCCTAGGTGTCTTCTCAAAGACCTGAGAGCTGTCAGAGCCAGACCGGCTTACAAGGCCGCACAGAGCCAGTAGTTTGCTTTTCTCAATAGCACAGAATCCCACCCAGAAAATTCCTACGCAAAGGTGCCCTTCAGGACAAGGGAAATGAATCGTTTCATGTCACAGTTTTGAGATTTATGAAAATAACTATAAAATGTTTTTCTCAGAATATTTTTGAGACTACAGCTATGGCACCAGCATTTCACATTCTCCGGGTCATTCTTGCTTTCCTATTGGTTAAACATTGAGAAAGGGGAAGTTGTTAAAACATTTCATGATTATGTATGTACTCAGAATTCTTACTCTTGTGCTTCACCAGCGAAGGTCCGTGGCGAGTAAAGCTTCCACATGAGAAAACATGTCAGATACCCCCTGAGGCAGCCTTTCGGTGGGAGTCAGCCTTACAGAGGTTCATGGAGATTATTTCCCAAACCCCAATTGGTTTAAAACAAATGGAAGAATTTTAAATTTATTTATTTTATTATTATTTTTTAAATCCTTACCCGAGGATATGTTTATTGATTTTTAGAGAGAGGGAGGGAGAGAGAGGAACATCAACTGGTTGCCTCTCATATGCACCCTTACTGGGGATCCAACCCACAACCTGGGTATGTGCCCTGACTGGAAATTGAACCCGTGGCCTTTTGGTGTATGGGATGACGCTCCAACCAACTAAGCCAGGGCAAGACATTTCAGATTTGAAATTAAACCTCCAGAGTCTCTTCTCATAAGGCTTCATTTGGCCAGTAACCCTTGATGCACTTAATAATAACAAAACAACAATACAAGGACAAGGGCGATCATTTATTGAGCACTTACTGTGTATCAGGTATTGTGAGCATTTTGCATGAAGTGGATCTTCACTGTTTTGCATTGTTATCCCCATTTTACAGATGAGAAAACTGGGGTCACCTGGCTGAGTGGTAGAGCTAGGATTTGAACTCAGGTTGCTCTAATTCCAAGTCCTGGGCTCCTAACAACATGGTTTAGTGCTTCAAGGGCTTTCATGTAGCCCCCAGGGTTTTAGAGAGGATTTGATCAGTCAGGTGAGAGTCAGTGAGGCTAATAAGAAACCTGAGTTGAGAAAGGCAGAAATAATGTGCTAAAACATGCACTCGACAGGAAGAGTACTAGAAATTTTGAGAAGGAAAAGGAATTTCTTGCAAAAAGTGACAGGCAATTGGATTGTTATAGGCAGACTCCCAACTGGAGGGCAAGCAGATTCCTGTGAAACTAGCGTTGGCGTAACCTGGAGATCTGGGAGGCAGATTCGCACCGTGGCCCTGAGCCCACGCTTTGGCACCTGAAAGGATTGTATTCAGAATATGGTTGTCTCCCTTGCTTTTGCCTCTCTTCCGGGAGGCCCAATAGCATCTTTCATTATCACTTGTCTTCATTTGTAAAATGAAAATAAAGTCTAACTCATTGCGTTTTTAGAAGAATTAAATGAGATAACAGAAGTAAAATGCTTTCTTGAGGGCCTGCCACATTAAAAGCGCAGCATCAGTTCTTCTTATTTTTTGGTAATAATTTGAAAATCGTATGAGACAGGGAGGTCAAAGGGGAATGGGAAAAGTCACCGATGGCTTTTAGGAATCCAAGCCGTCAGGGGAACTTGGGTCATTCGCTCTGGCTTCGAGGTCATTGAGAATGATGCCAAGTTGTCCAGACTACCTGCCCTGTCCTCCCCCAAACCTGTGATGCTCAGCCCAGTGGGGACAGCTCAGGGCACCCGTAGAGGGGCAGTGGTGATTTGGGGACTACTCGCTCGGTTTGGGATTAAGGGTAAGTGGGGACAAAAGGAAAAACAACCCACTTTAGACCAAATCAGCTGGTTACGCTCAGGAAGCCAAGGATCAGGGCGGATGCCTGCTGCCAGGGCTTCTGACGAAGCCACCCAGCCCCCGGCATCACACACCAGGGCGAGCGCTGACTGTCCTTTCGATCAAGTAGCACCAAATGTTCCAGGGTTCTCCCAACCCCAAGAAGCACAGACACCTTCTCTATTGTCCTTCATTTGTCTCTGAAGCTGATGGGAAATCATTCAATTAAAATGAGCGCTGCAGAATACATAAAACCACAATATGAGTTTAAGAAAATGAAAACGCCACATCAAAGGCATTCCGAAGCCTCGTTTCATGAAATGAAATTTTATTTCATTCCCACTGATTTCCTAGGTGAAATTAGGTGACGGTCTGGGTCGCATAATGATGATAACGATGGGGAACCACACATACTCAGATGACATACGTGGAGCTTTAATAAAGAATGAGAGCGACTCTGGGGAGTGCATTCAATTGAGTAATAATTTATTATTTAGAGACTGCTACCCATTTACTCATTTTCTTTTTTTCTGGAAGAATTGGCCCTCCCTGCGAGGTATGCCATCTTTAGAAAGCAAGAGGTAGCTGTGTGTGTCCTGCATGCGTGGCCGGCAGTTAAGTGATGGCTTCAGTTCCCCAGGCGCGGCCTACCTGTGAGCCGCCTGGGGTTCCGTGAGGGAAGGAGCAGGCTGTGCAGGGCTCCGCCTGTCCTATAGGAATGCACCGCAATTATTTCCAATCACAATTAACCCGATTAGAATAATGGACAGGAAGTGTCCCTCTGTAGCTAATGCTGTTTGGCATCAGCTGACTGAAATCCTTGGGTAATTTCTGCACAGATGGCTGGGCTGAATGCGGCCCTTTTTGAATGATTGTTTTCACGGTCTCTTGGTAGGCCAAAACCTCCACGCCGACAGCAGACCTCCCCATCAAGGTGGACGGCGCCAACGTCAACATCACAGCTGCCATTTACGATGAGATCCAGCAGGAGATGAAAAGGGCCAAGGTGTCCCAAGCCCTGTTCGCCAAGGTGGCTGCAAATAAAAGTCAGGTGAGCGGGGCTTAACGGAGCAGAGGCGAGCACCGGGGTTCCACTGCGCTCCTCCTCCCTCCCATAAAAATACATCTGTTCCCATAGTAATAACAACAGCAGGCATCCCGAGGGGACCCGTCGTGTTCGTTTGGCGCCACAGTTTGCTTTTATTCCCATTGGAGTTCAATATAGAGACTAAGTCAAAACCCAGACCTGTGTCTGTTAAAGAATCGTTGAAAAAAGAATTGGCCTGGAATGATTTCTCTTCTAATTCTAAACACTGCTATGTATTCTTTCTTTCTTCTGCTCTTTTTTTCCCTTCCTCTCTCTCTCTGTCCCTCTCTCTCTTTTGTGTGTATATGAGCCAAAGTTGATACGTACAAAACAGCATCTTTCTGAGACCGCATCTCAGCCACGTCTCATCGCCTCTCACTCCCAGCAGAGGCCTGGCTGCCATTGGTGTAATAACTGCTTTTCCAAGCCCCAGAGACACCTTGTGAGTCAGGTGTTCCTTTTATGTGTAGAATACAGTTGTTTCTCCAGGAGAAAACACACGTGAGGGCCCAGGGTCTGTGCTAAAAGCTCTAACAGGAACACACGGCAGCGTCTCCAGTGCCGATCTGAGCAGAGCGCGGGTGGCGGGGCGGAATGCCCCGGGACCAACGTAGACAGATGCTTAGGGTTTTGGAAATTTATTTCTGAAAGCAGCAACCGTGGATGGGATCCACTGTCTGTTTCCATTCCTTTAAAGGGACAACCACCACCCTGTCCGAGAATGGGCTAGGTCAGTGGTCGGCAAACTGCAGCTCACGAGCCACATGCGGCTCTTTGGCCCCTTGAGTGTGGCTCTTCCACAAAATACCATGTGCGGGCGCGCATGTACAGTGCGATTGAAACTTCGTGGCCCATGCACAGAAGTCGGTATTTTGTGGAAGAGCCACACTCAAGGGGGCAAAGAGCCGCATGTGGGCCGCGAGCCGCAGTTTGCCGACCACTGGGCCAGGCGGATGTGCCTGCTTATTTCTCCCCAGATGAACAATGACCTCACGCGCGGTGGAGGAAACGAAGTTGGCTGCAGCATCATCCTGAGAGCCCTTGATTCTGGGCTTGATTTCCTCTGTGGCCTTTCATGACTAATGTTCCCATCCCTGCGATGTACGTGGTAAAAGATCCATCGTCTCCCCAACAGATCTTCCGTTGTGTGCAATGAAGAAAGGAAGTTACTGAATATTGTGTTTCTATTAAGCAAGAAGGTTTTCAATAAAAATCAAGTTTCAAAAAAGATTTTATATATAATTTAAGAGAGAGAGAGTTAGGTGCTATATTTAGGCTAATTATGGGGCTTAGCCGTTTTTACCTGCCGCTTGGCAGTTACCTGACTTAAGTTATTTTTCAGATGTTGATAAAGGGAAAGGAGTAGAAGATCAAGGAACTTTGACGAGAATGGAAATATTTGTTTCCCTTCCCAATGTTAATGTAGAAATGTTTCCAGATTATTCCTATTATCGCTCATCAGTGAAACCGTTGAAAGGCAGTTTGCTAAGATTTGATGTCCAACCATAGAATGAAATACATGAAAAGAAAATACCATGGAGCCTTCCTGAACTGTTCGATGCATAAAATCCCATGGACCACATGGCAAAATATAATGAGAGTTGGAACTGTTAAACGAATAAAGCTGTTAAATGCATAATGCCACTTGGCAAAACTACTGTGCATTTAATGGTTTTCCACTGTGTAATAAAGGACATATGTGGTAGATGTGCAGCGGGTAGAAAAGCTACACAATTGATTTTGCAAACCTGCCCCTTAGTCGTGACTTGACATAAATATAAAAGTTTCACTCCGACCTTTTTTTTTTTTTTTTTAATAAGAAGCTTTCAAGAAAAAATGAAGACCACAGTCTGAAAACTTGATTCAAAATTCCTGTGATCTTCCTATTGGCTTGGCA